CATTTTTTTTCAATAATGAAACTGGTATTACATTCAAACTGGCATAACAAAAGATATTAAAGTTGATGAAAATCGCAGGCATGTGTGTACACAAGATGTCCCTGACAGACCTCCAAAATTCTAGTCATGGCAGCAAAAGTACTTTTTATATAAAGTGAAAAGGAGTAAAGCTGAACAGGGACACAAAATGCCTGCTGCAAAAATGGCTGTAGATGGGAGCTAAAGAAAAAGGAGGAGTGAAGGAGGATTGGATAATGGAAAGAAGGAGAGCAGCCAGTCAGTGGATCAGTCACTCCAGGCCTGGCCTCTCGGCAGGGGGTTGTGCTCGGGGCGAGATCACAGGCCTGCTGCCACGACGATGCCTTCACAGGCACACAGCGACAGATAGGAAGCTGCTGGCACCAGGTCGCTTCACTGATTCACCCCAGCACTGCCTCGGCACAGACATTTTCTCTTTCACCAATGTTCCACTAACGGAGCTTGACCTACATGTAGACCTACTCTCTCCCTCTTCTTATGGCCGCAGCGGGTCAGAAATAGTAGTGATCTTTGTGTCCCACTAAGTAGCTTTTGGTCTTTTGTGTTTGGTCTGGCAATTCCTAATTGGACAAAGAATATTCTGTTAGTAAAGATCAACATTTTATTACGCTGGTTAAGTAAGATGTCAAAGATGTATTCCACTAGTTCATATCTAGCACTGCAAAAATCTGATCTATCTATTTTGGCTATTGTTGTGACTTTTAGTCTAGTATTTCCATGTCAAGTCGGAATTTACGTACAAGATATTTGCACAAGAGCTAGCACGTAGTTAAATATATTATATTTATTTTATTATATTTACCAAAAGCCTGTGATGTTTTGTTGTTTCTTCCGACAATTTGTTGTCAAAATTGAGCGTTCAATGAAAACTGTGTATGTTTATGACGTTAAGTGCAAAGCTACAGTGTGAGTGATTAGTCATCATTACTTGGTGAATTATCTGTTATCTTATTTACCACAGGCAGTGTCTGTTACATCTCAGATGAGATTAGGGATGAGGGAAGTGACATAAAACCAATGTTCTCGGGTAATTAAGTGCAAAGCGTGGTGAAAATAAGTGTCCGGCCTGTATCAGGAAAGTCAGCTGTTTATTGGCTTAAGTGAAGAGATGCATTTTAGCTTTCTTCTAAAAATGTTTAGCCAGCTGGCATTCCCGATATCTATAGGTAGTGTGTTCCATAGCTTGCGGGCATAACTGACATAGGCTGCATCCGCAGTTTTCTTGCGCCTATTGTGCTGGGAACCACCAACAATCCAGCAGCAGACGATTGCAGTTTTGTAGAGGGCAAAAATTTCAAAAGGAAGAAACAATGTAGCTTGAACCTAGCCCATTAAGGCAGTAGTCTGCAATAGTTGGCCACGGGCCAGAACTGGCCCGCCAGCAATAATATCTGGCCAGATTGCTTTGATAGCAGAAAAATAAAAATAAAAAATTCAAAATAACAGCGCGAGAAAAGTTTTTGCAGCAATGCTTCATTCTGAGTTTTTTGAGAGCTTTTACTTTGAAAAATTCTGAAGGACATACAAAAGAGTCTCTGGCTTACTTGACACACCTCTGTAAAAGCCGTCAGTAAACGTGTGATTGAAATTTCGCAGGGAAATGAAAATTAGTGTTCATAGTTTTATTAATGCGGAGCACTGCAGCACATGCTTTATTGCGAGCATGTGAAAAAATGTCCTAATGGGCTAATCAATTAGTTTAACAAGGGAGAAAAAAAAAGTCAGCTGAATTTTGGGATCGATCAAAACTCCTCCTATGGGAGTCCTGCACTCTACAGACTGAGCTAAACGTGCACATGAGTATCCAAGGGTTTGAAATAATTTGACTGAAATAATGTTCTGGCCTGCCATGTAACGGCTGGAAACAAGTTTGCCCCGACGTCAGACTTATTTCCTGACCCCTGCATTAAGGGCTTTGTATATAAGGTGGAGGAAATGTACTACATGTACGAGAAGCCATTGCAAAGCACTTTTTTTTGGATTGGAAGCCACCCTTCTAACTAGTGTTGCCGTACAATCGGTACATACATTCGGTACATATAATGTAATATTAACTGAATCAAAAATCTTGCCTAGACTCAGTGCTGCCAAACGAGGGCCTCAGTTAGTTAACAATATTCACAACATGGAAGCTAACATTGAAAGGGTAACTGTCTAACTGTAACTGAGAGGCCGTCCAATCCGTGGAGCAGAACGCACAGTGCCATCCAATCCCAGGGAAGATGCAGTGCAGCGCTATCAGGAAAGCAAAGAACTGGACCGGGACCGACTCATATTATAAATACATCAAAGAAAACAACTAAATATAGGCTAACAATTAAAAACACTCCTCCCCATAAACCTCTGCATTTGCAATATAATTTGCTAAAACATTTTCAGAGCCCCTCTAATGCTTTAAATTTAGATTAAACTCCTGTACCAACATCGACTGATGCATGAGCCTTTTGTTATGGCTGTACATGAACAAAAAGAAGACAAGAGGTCTGTGGTTGCTGTACTGTGGGTGTAAGACAACTGGATCCAATGTACACTTCAAAAGGCTGTACAGACAACAGCAAAGCTACAGTCTCTTTTTCAATAGTATCTATAATATCTACTTTGGTGCTTATTAAACTTACGAGAGAAGTAGCTGATGGGTTGATTTACTCCATGTCTGTCTTGGATCAATGCTGCTCTGGCTCCCACTGTACTCCCGTCAACTTCCAGCTTGAAGGGCCAGTCAAACTCGAATATTGGGTCGTTACACAGAAGACTTTTTACGCTTTTATATGCGTGCTTACATTCTGGAGTCTATCTATATTCAACCTTGGGACTAAAGAGGTGGGTTAGATGGTGAATAAAAATTCCTACAGTAATAGAAATGCCCTACCAAGGCCTCAGTGCACGCCTGGTGGTGGACATGGGAAACTCTGTGATAGCAGTGACTTTGTATCCATGGGCGCACCTGACCCTGTCCAACTTCTTTTCCTAAAGACGTTACAGTAACTTTACCGAATTCACAGAAGAAGCAGAAGCAGATATTTTGGTTTTACTTGTTTGTTGATTTAGTTGCCTGGCTTTATAGACTGTCCGCGCTCTATTGTGTATTTGGTTTAGCTTGTCTTGTGCTTTGCCTTTACAAAATTACCTGAAAACACTGGTTTTATCTTACACCCAAGAGGAGTCTAGGGATGAGGGAAGCAAAATAGTACCAATGATCTCAGGTAATTAGACTGGACAGACAGATGTCATCTTTAAAACAGATTTTTGAGATGAATTTTTATTTATTAGCTATGAAGCACAGACTATAATACTTTTTATTCTGTCTTTAGTTCTTTAATATTTCTGGAGATCTACAAGTCTGTTACTACTGACAAACGGTTCAGCTAATATTTTGCAATTAGCAGGACATGCCTTTGACTTTCTACATTGTCAGATTTGATGGACAATAGAGCTCATAGTCAATCATTATGATAAAAGTTGTTTACTCTCAAGGATAAAATCTTGTACAACTTAGAAATTACCCCTTGGCATCTCAGTCCTCTTACACACTCACACACACATGCACACTGCTGGCCCCTTCCTTTCCATTTCTCTTCCCATTTTTCTCCCCCCCCCCCCGCTGTGACCCTGACTGTTGAAAGTCAGTCGGCTTCTATTAGTATCAGCCCAGGCTCATCATTATCCATCAATTAGACTGGCAACAGCCAGGGCCTACAGAGAAACATCTGCAGCCTTTCGGCCCTGTTTCTGCATAGTTGCCGTGCTCTGAGCTTGCTGTGCCTTGCAGAGGTCACTGTTTAGAAAAGGCTTGTCTAAATAGAGCAGTGGGGGAGTCATGGTGGAAGTTTGTAACACCTGTGTAGTAGTAATATGGGACCTCAGTACCCTATGAGCACTGACTGAATCCATTGCAAAGCAAAAACGGACTTGTGCTGAAAGTCAGCCTTGGGTGCTTTGACATATTCTTAGTCTTTAGGACTCCTCCATCAGATACAGTCGCAGGAAAAACTATGTGAACCCTTTGGAATTACACAGATTTCTGCATAAATGGGTCATAAAATGTGATCTGATCTTCATCTAAGTTACAACAAAAGACAAACAGAGTCTGCTTAAACTAATACCACACAAACAATTATATGTTTTCATGTTTTTATTGAACACACCTTGTAAACATTCACAATGCAGGGTTGAAAAACTAGAGTGGTCCAGTGTGAACAGGAGGGGGCTGAGCACACAGCCCGGGGGGACTACGGTGTCTGAGGTCTGTTTGTGAGGAAGCCCAATACCCAGTTGCAGAGTGTTGTATCTGCCCAGAGTGCTGAGTTTGCTGATCAGTTTCATGGGGAGATTGTGTTGAATGCTGAGCTGGAATCCACAAACAGCTTTCTGATGTAGGTGTTGTTTTTCTCAAGGTGTGTGAGGGCTGAGTGGAGGGCAGTGGAGATGGAGTCCTCTGTGGATCTGTTGGTTCTGAAAGCAAACTGGTGAGGGTCCAAGCCGGCTGGGATGTTGTTCTTTATGTGCTGAAGAACCAGTTTCTCAAAGCACTTCAATCAGAATTACAGACGTCTCATTGGCTGCTGGATCTTCCCTGAGTCCACGCTCTGACTTAAACAGATCCTAAGCCTACATTACTATCCAATGGTGCCCCACATGACAAGAGCAGAAGCTGTTTCCTAAATTTGGGTCCCATGGATGACTGCATGGGTATCCGACATGACATGACATCTTCTGATTAGAGACGTCTTTCTGCTGTGGATGTGTTTGTCAGCTTTGTTCCTCTGGCCTCTCCTCCCAGTAATCCACAAGGAAACTCTGGTTATGATTATACACTGCAAGGATGACATCACATGTTTTTTTCTGCCAAATAAACCAAACTGTTGCTTTATGATGTGTGTGTGTGATGTACGTGCCTTTATTTCATAAAGAATGGAGTATCAGATGATGATATGTACTGTGTGCTTGTGTGTCTGTTACAGCAATGGTACACCAGCACTATGAACCTTGTAGGAACATGGCTGACTGACCGGATGGACCTGCAGCTCCATCTTTATCAGTTGAAGATTCTCATCAGGATTGTCAAGGTGAGAACAGCTACATTTCTAAACCTCACATCTAAATGTAAGCAAATCATTTTAATCATTATTATCATATGAATGTTCTCAAGAATCAATGACAAAGTTATTAAATTAAGTGACTCTTTCATAACTCTGGTACATTGTAGATTTCACTGCTGCATCCCACGTAATTTGATATTTATTATGTTAAAAATGGATTTGTGTCCCCTATTCAAACACAGTGTTGTGTTTATGTCAGTTGCACTTTTATTTGACCTTTCTGGTAGAGCAGAGGCTTTTAACAGTGAGTGGCAGTAGTACACTGATTACAACCACTACAATGTAAACTACCTGACACAAAATGATTTTTTCAATTTTGGGCACCATGCCATTGGTACGCCATTCCACAAAAACTCACCATTTTTTCAACTTTTACTCCTCAGTGGGATTAGACTGCACAATGAGAACTTAAAGTTGATCTGACTAATTCTGTAGGAGGAGTTAGTTATAGTACAGAACCTGTAAATCACCAAAAATGACCATTAAATCCAAAATGGCTGACTTCCTGTTGGGTTAAGGGCATTACTCCAAGAGGATTTTTGTTATGTCTGGACATGATACATGTGCCACAGAAATTTCATACATGTAGGTAAAATGGGCAGCTTAGTTGAATGTCACTTCCTGTTGCCAGTAGGTGGCGCTATGACTATGTATAAATGTTGGCATGTACATGGGTTCAGGGCAGGACTCTTATCAAATGTGAAAATATTTGATACAGATCGGAGCATGTACAGTGAAGTTACAACAACATCATGGCAAAGTGTTTAACTTGGTACCACGCCACCCCGACGCCCTTAACATTTACATTTATTCATTTAGCTGACGCTTTTATCCAAAGTGACTTACAATTGCTATATATGTCAGAGGTCGCACGCCTCTGGAGCAACTAGGGGTTAAGTATATTGCTCAGGGACACATTGGTGGATACAGTGGGGAATTGAATACAGGTCTCTCATACCAAAGGCATGTGTCTTATCCACTGCACCATCACCAACTGAAAACTCACAAGTTTCACAACATGGCATCGTCAGTGTGTTAAGGGGTTTTCTGGGACTGTTTTGAAGTTGATATGGCCAAACTGCTAGGAGTAGTTCATCATAGCTTAAAATGTGATATTTGCTGTTGCCAGTAGGCGGCGCTCAGACTCTGAGTGAATATTGGCATATGGATGTGTTCTCGCCAGGACTGTTACGCATGTTAAATTTTGTCCAGATGTCAGCATGTACACTAATTGTCCATTTTTGACGCCATGCCATGGGCACGCTTATGAAAGAAAACTCACCGTTTGAACAACTTTCAATCGTCAATGGGTTTAGCCTGCACAGTGAAAATTTGAAGTCGATCAGATTAACTCCCTAGGAGGAGTTTGTTAAAGTACGAAGTACGTAATTCGCCAAAAATGACCATTAAATCCAAAATGGCTGACTTCCTGTAGGGTGTTGGGCATTGCTCCAAGAGGCTTTTTTGTACGTCTGGACATGATACACGTACCACAGAAATTTTGTTTATGTAGGTGTAACTTTAGGGGGTTCTAGAGAGCTGTGTGCGAGGCCATGTGCATCAGTAGTAATAATCCAATATAATGTTATATATTCTAATTAAGCACTGAGCGGTTAAAGCTATAATTCTTATATCCCATGCCTATTCAATAAGGTACTCTGAGCTAAAAGTAGGACGTGATCTACCGGCTGCCCATCCACAAACACCACCAAGTCAGGTCATTGGAATGCCTGGCTGATACGGACTCAGTATACTGAGCTGGTAGCGGAAACAAACATTTTATGCCCACATCAAACCCAGGACATCTCCACAGTGCTAACCACTGAGCTGATATTCCCAGCAAATCTGATGTTAATATATAGATTTTACTCATGGATAGGGACGTTAGGCTACTCTATGAATGAGCACTTTAGAGATATAATGATAGTAATTCTAATTATATATACATATATATGGCTGGTCTCGTTGTATACTCAGGAAAGATTGTGAAAATGGACGGATTTAGCCGGAGTAGTGGCGATTGCATATTATATATAATATATATTTCAACATATTTCTGTGTTTTTTACATGGTTTGAATTTGGTTGTGGCCCCATGGGGCTTTATAGAACGAACGTTATACTTTGTCAATTAAAGCAAACCAGGTAGCGTTCCGTGTTTGAGAACTGCGCTGTTTTTTTACATCGCCCACTAGAGGGCTGCAGCGCCGCAATAACCAGCCTAGTTCAAATGAACGAAATGACACAAAAAAAGAATTAGTTCATTTTAATGAACGGGATTTGAAGATTCCAGTCTGTCAAAAGAGTCACTTTTACCATCACTAGTGCATGCAATTGTCGGCGGGCATGCACGACTCGGCACAAGACCGGTGAACGGTAGGTGAGCAGAGCACAGAGAAAATTGTCAACAATAAGCCACAGTTCAGTCGTGTAAGTTACAGTGACTGCAGCTCTGCAGCTTCTCAAGATCAAAGCGGAGCTACCACGCTACTTCTCTAAAAAGGATTTCATCAACATTTAATGGGATATGATTTCCTGAAAATAAATCAGTAAAATATTGCTCCTGTTTTTGAGTACAAACTACTTCTCCTTAGTGACTTTCCTCTCCAAAACTTTCTTTTATAGAATAGTAAATTCCTATCAAATGTAGATTGTGCTTGCCTAAATCTATCTCTCAGTTGCTGTCTACTCATAGAATCATTAAAGGACTAACCCTCTCACAAAACCTGTAAAGCCATTTGTTGAATGCCTTTGCCAACTGTTTCTAATTCTTTTTCTTTGTTTGTTTGGGGTAGAAAAAGTACCGTGACTTCCGCCTTCAAGGAGTGCTGGACTCCACATTAAACAGTAAGATGTATGAAACCGTGAGAAATCGACTGACTTTGGAAGAAGCCACTGCCTCAGTGAGGGAAGGAGGGATGCAAGGCATTTCCATGAAGGACAGCGATGAAGAGGACGATAACTAGAAGAAGGCCTGAAAACTACAATGTCAAAGCTTTTCAGAGGGTGAGCAGTATACTGCCTGAGAACCCATGCAGCCTTTCCATGAGGTCAAAAAAGATTGATTGATTGAACAACCAACGTGTTCCCTCTGTTATTTGCTTAGTCAGTTTTTCATTCCTGTAATAGGTCCACTTCTCTGTCTGAATTAAATTAAATAAGATGTATTAAAAAATTCACAACAGCCAAGTACTTTAGGTTAATACATTAAATTAATTAATGGTTGATTTCTCCTGAAATGTGAGCAAATGAATGTCAGAATATTCAAGAGGCCAAAATAACAAATGTGACAACAAATACTCACCATTCAAAGCCTTATAAATAAGATGAAAAAGAAAGGCAGGTAATTGCATCTATACGGTGTTCATCTTTTGAAGGCATTAAAAATATTATGTTGTACCTTCATGTTGTGCAACCAAAAATGTCTGCAGTCTTTGTACGGAAGCTTTCCTGTTGCTTGTTGCTAAGATTTGTCTTTCACATTTTGAAAAGTACATATAGTATAGAGCACTCTCTTTACTTTAGGCTGTTCTGCTGGAAAATAACTTGTGAAACACTCAAGTGATCCAAGTGAAACAGAAATATTGGGGAGCACTTTACATTACAGCTCGGTAATAACATGGTAATAGTTTGATTGTATAGTTTGATAATAAAGAGGTAATAATTAAATAATACTATGTAATTAAAAGGTAATAACCAGATAATAGCTTGGTATTGAAAATGAGTATATCTCAGTAACATTTGTTACGCACATTCCAACACTGACCAAACACACCACAACAAAACACCTTTTAAGCAGCCAAATCCATGGGATTTATTAACATAAACAGACGTACAAAACAACCAAGACAATCAATCAAAAATCATAAAGTCAAAACACAATTTCCCGGGCTGAGAGGCAGCAAAACCAGCAGTCTCCTTTCCTGAAGCCCCTGCCTTCTTTTTCTGGCACATGAGCTTTTAAGCATCCCATTCCCAGGCCAGGTGCACCTCATTAATCAATGAGATGTAGCACGCCCAGGGCAGCACTAGACAAGGAAAAGGGACAAACAGCACAGAGAATACATACAGCTGTAATATATTAGACTTAAATTTATGTTCAATTTCAAATCACTTTTATTTATATAGCACCAGTTCACAACAACAGTTATTTTTGTGCTTATATGTAACAGGGTAATAAGGAGCCAAACTAAGGGGCAATAATAGGGAAACACATTTAATTATAGCAACAAGGCAAAACAATTTAGTAATAAGATTTGTTAATAATATGGTAACCTTCTAACAGTAAAAAGGTTCTATCAGTACAATATTTGGATTAAAAGAATGTTGACATTAATTGGGTAATTACTTGATAATAATGAGTTTTCACAACATCAACCTAAATTACCTCATTATTTTCTGGTTATTACCCCATTAATGTCACCATATTACCATTTTTAAGGTTATCTAATAAACATTTTATTGTTAGAAGGTAACCATATTGTTACCAAAATATGACAATAATGTTAGGGAATACTTGCCTTGTTACAGTCTTTAAATGTATTTTTTATATACAGTCTATGGTATTTCCCCATTACTACCATTTATTCTTGCCCCTTATTACATAAATTTCAGTCTAATTTTACTCAGATATAGCCATTGTTAATACCAATTACCTGGTTATTACTTTGGTAATTAGATGATATTTCTAATTACCGCTTTATTAAACTATTACCCCACTATTACCATGTTATCATTTATAAGATATTTCCAAAATTACTTGTTGAATGTTCTCAAAAAATATGAATGAATATTTTGTTCCTAAGTTTATGAACAACACTGCAAATTTCTTTCTGTTATGCTGACAAAATGTGCAGTGAGTGCAGCTAGTGTATGTTGCATTATTGTAAATTCTGTGAAAATGGTCTCATATTACTTTTTTTGTAATGAATCTGCATAATGTCCCAACCATAAAATCTTGACAAAATGTTTAAAAAGATGTGCTGTGATATGATGTAACAGTAACAGTTTTTGTTTTTGTCTGCCAGTTTTTCAGAACATGCCCGGTCGCAACTGTCTTACAGCAAATGTAATCCAAGGCATTGTCAGCAGTAAAGTTGATGGGTGCAAACATTTAATAAAATAGTGACGAAAATTGAGAACATCATTCAGCCTTCAAACATTTACATGTCAAGGGTGCATTCTGTCATTTTGAGAAGTCCCATTGTTTGCCCTCTTACCTGGTGTCATATGTGAGATATATACACATATATATATATATGAGATCTTTATCAATTTCATCTCGCCGAACCGTTTAGCAAAAATGTTCACTTTGGCTTTCTTTGATTTGATACTTCCTGTGAACCAAAATAGTTTCTGGCCCAATACAGTCTAAATAGGTCTAGGTGTTAGATTGCATTTTAGCTAAGTGTACCTAACAAACTGGCCAATGAATCTTAAAGAGGTGGTATTATGCTTTTTTGGCTTTTTCCCTCACCTTTTTTGAGTTATATATCTTTTTTGTACATGTTTTGTGTTGCTGTTCGGCAACATGTACAGCTGAAACAAAGCTGTGATTACCAGCTGCTCGCTGACCCGCCCTTCTCAGCTTCTGATTGGCTAGTAGTCCTTAACAGGAACTGCACATGTGCAACTCCCAACAGAGATCATTTAGAGACAAGTTGTATCACTCCGTAGCTAAAACGAAGCCTTCAACACAGGGTGAAAAGAGGAGCTGCAGCAATGTGTAGCATGAGAAAAATATGGTGTTTTTTGAAAATTAAACCATGTAAACCTGTTCTGATACAACCCCTAAATAGAATTATGAACCTGAACGTGAGCTAATACCAACTCTTTAATTAACAATAGGATAATATAAAATACAAAAAATTATCAATGCCCTGACAGCAGCCCATAGAGGCTGAAATGTTCATTATATTCACAAGACAAAAGTGTCTGTAGCAGTCTAAACATTTTGAATTTGTCCTTAGTGTGGTGAAAATGAAAAGGCCATGAAGTCAATACAATAAAAAAAAAGGAATCATCCTCTGGACAGCAGGAATGTCCATTGCAAATGTCACAGCAAACAGCTGTTAAAATATCTTGCTATTGTCAGCAATAGTAAGTGTTGTGCAGATGGATGCTGACATTGACATATCTAGGACTGGCATTAGCAGGACAAAACCTCATCTTCATTTAACAAATTATTAGCGTAATTAAGGAAGAAATCAGTTTGAAACTTGCACAAGGAGCTAAATGAAACACATCTATAAACAGGTGGATTATTTGCATGACATATGTAAAAGAAGAAAAGGGAAAAATGTCTAAAATATGTATAGGAAATGGTTCGTATTTTGTGCAGTGAAATTGCAAGAGAGTATTTTGAGTCAAAGAAAAATAGGAGGTCAGTCTCTTTTACAATACTATCCAAAGGCTTCAATATAATCACTTATGGCCTTGAACTATACATTTTACTCAACTACCACCATAAGTTCTTCCGTTAGAGAGTTAGAGCACTGCATCTATCATTTACAAAGACAGTGATACTGTGTAACTCATTTTAAAAATGGTGTCAAGTGGCCAGCACATAGACCTTCCAGTGACAACATAAGCTGTATCTTGCATTTGAAATAAACATCAACTGACTTTACTGACTTCACTTTGATTTCCGCATCAACCTAACACCTTCTTTCCTTTGGTTTAATAGATAAGTTAGCAAGGCAATACACTTTAGTTTTATCACACTGATAAAACCAAACAGGTCTATATCTGTTTTCAACATTTTTTCAACGTTTAAGCAAATGTTTTTATAATTAAAAATAATTTAAATAATAGAGTTTATTTGCCATCTTTGATATATGTTCTTGTATGTGCCTCTACTTCATTCCAGGATGAATGGGGCCAGGTCACATTTTTAAAAAGGATGATGGGACATGACGTGTGCTTGTACTTTTCCTCTGTCAACTGTTTTCTATAGAGATGTGTGTTGCCCTGTGAGTAAGTACTGCATGTCCCCAGTATTCACTTCTCAAAGTGTTTATGCTCCATGTGTGAAGTCACCGGTGGGTCCATCGTGATTCTTTCTTCTAGAAGAACCCACCAAGGCCAAGAATATTTAAATAAAGGTGAATGGCAATGTGTAAAGAACTTGTTGTTTCATTCACTGTGGTTGTTGTGAAATGACTGAATGTGAATTCAGCAGCTAAATCAGCTGAAGCTGATCATTTGTTCAAAAACAAATCTAAAATCCTAACACATGTCATTTCAACGCTTGATAATTACTTGTACTACTGTTTTGGACAAAGACGCTAACCACTTAAGAGTGGACAGAGATGTTGTGTCAGCAGACTGCAAGAAATACATATTTTTCATCCATGGCCATGACCTCCTTTCCCTCCCCCGCAGCAGCAATTTCTTAAGAAAGCGAGTCTTGAGATTAATGCTGTGGATTAAAGCATCAGTCATCTTGAGAGTTGATATTACCGTCGAGAAGGAGATTGAAAGAACTGCCAGAGATCAACGCAGCAATGACCAAAATTAAATAAAGAGCCCAAGATTGAAGCTAAGACTAAAGTCGGGAGGATTAGATATCATATAGTCCCAAATTAAAAGAAGACAGGATCTTTAATTATGTTATGGAAGGGGAGAAACAAATCCTTCTTAGAAGAATAGAGAAAACAAGATTTTGGAGGAAATAAAACTACTAGTGACATTTTACTTTCTCCCTGGATGAGAATGATGCTCGATGCATATGTATCATCCAGCCATATTTAGTTATTTGCCAAACATATTCGGACTTTTTTGCAACTGGACATGATTCAGACACTATGTTATGATTTAGCTTAATAATAACACACTTAGGATCCAATTATAGGGGTTTAGAGATTGTCATTTTAGTCTGTGGTGCATTTCTAGATTATACAAAGTGTTCAGGATTTAAAGGACTTTTAATAAGTTAATATACAGCCTTTTATGATATAAATATTAACATATACTGTTGCAAATAAACATGTGAAAAGAAAGAAGCCTTTCATAAATGTTTGAAAAGTGTGTGAATAAATCCAAAATTGTAACCCTATCCCGTAAGGTTGGAGGCGTCAGTGCGTGTGTTGCGCAGAGTTGTGTGTGAACTTTGAGGGACGTTCAAATCATTTATCACCACACAAACAGGGTAAACAGTAGAGCCGCAAGGAACCTCGACGTGCATGCAAGTCATGCTCAACTCTGCACAAGACAAGACAAATGGCAGGCGAGCAGAGCAGAGAGAAAACGGTCAACAATAGGCCGCAGTTTAGCTGTGGCAAGTGAATAGAGACTGCAGCTTCTCAAGATAAAGCATAGCTACCTGTCCGTGGCCTTTTTTCAAATTCACGCACTTCTCATTTTCACACACACGTGAAATGCTTGCACTGTATAGACTGTGAGAGCAGCCCTGCAACAAAAGCAGGCTGAGTTAGAAAAAACACAGACGAATGCCACAGAAGAATGGTCTTCATTTTAATCGACTTCATTTCATCCAGTACAATTTAGAAAAAGCGGTAGCTCCATCAGAAGTGAAACAAGACTAGGTCGAATCCTAGTATATATGGCTGGACTGTGTATGTTCAGTGTGCTATAGTGTGGTCAGTTAAATTGTTACAAACATAGTCAGCGACGGTGTCTATACTATGAATTCCTGGATGTTAAATGTTTATCTGCAATTTTCTGTTGTGGTCCCAGTAATATTTGTCCTTAAAGCGTACTGTATATAGAATACTGTATCACATGAGAACAGTTTCCACTCATATCTTAATTAACAATTCTAATTATCTATTAACTCCCCCTGCTCATTCATTCATTTTTCTATGACTCACACTATTGAGTGTTTTGTCAGTGATTGTTATTTGGGGTGCTTTAACTGTGTGCTCTCCCTCATTCCTCGCAGCACATGGAGAGCTGTTTTCTCTCCTACTCAGCTCTATGCTGGACTGTTTCAGTGTGCACCACCGTCTCTGCTTCTCACAGCAGTAGTTTCCATGCTGTTAGGCGCAGTGGGCTCATCCCTCGCTTTGCGCTGCACTGAAGACTTTAAGTCTATGCCCACTTACTGCATTGCCACCACTTTGGTCTCACTTTATGTATAAGTTGAGCTGAGACCAGACAATCTGCTCCCCAAAAACAGCTTTTCCTAAAACAGCCTATACTCATAGAATTAGAAGTTATGCTACATAACAAACGTTCGCACCTATTCATTTTGAAAGACCAACGGCCAATTGTGAAATATATATTGCATAGAACTGAAATGGAAGTTTTCTTTAAGCTCAACACATACATGCATAAAAAGATGATGGTATTGTTGGTATTTTACAATGGATGGAGCACAAAAAAACAGTCATGGACAAAAATACGGACACCCCTGCATGGCTGTCACATAACACACTACTTCTCCCAGAAAACTGTTGCAATTAAAAATGCTTTGGTATATGTTTATTTCTTTTGTTTGTGTTGGAACAACACACACAAAAAACAAACACAAAAAAAGCCAAATCTGAGACATTCAACACAGAATTCCAAAACCAGACTGGACAAAATGATTGACTTAATATTTGGCAGAACACACTTTGGAAAAAATAACTGAAATCAGTCTCCTCCTGTAACCATCAATGAGTTTCTTACACCACTGTACTGGAATTTTGGACCACTCTTCTTTTGCCAACGGCTCGAGGTCTTGATGGTCCAGGATTTGATGGGTTGCTTCTCCCAATTGCTGATTTCTGGACTCACTGCTGGCCACTTCAGAACTCTCCAGTGCTTTGTCTTCAACCACTTTTGGTTGCTTTTTGAAGTATGCTTTAAAAGGACCCAGCTTTCTGTCACTGGGCCCTACATTGCACCCCAGCATTCTTTGGTTGTCTTCAGATTTCATCATGTTATGCACATAGTCAAGACATCCGGTGCTTGAAGTAGCCCCAAAACATCAGTACTGTAGACTGCAGGGACTGTGTTCTTTTCTTTGAGGGCCTCATTTCGTTTTCTGAAAACAGAATCATGAGGTGCTTTACCAAAAAGCTTAATTTTAGTCTCATCTGTCCACAGGACATTCTCCCAGAAGGATTTTGGCTTCCTCAGGAAAGGTTTGTTTCTATGTCAGCAGCGGGGTCCTCCTGGGTCTCCTAC